GCAAAATACTCAAGTGCATAAAGTTAGAAAAAAATAGCCAGGAATGGCGCTGTACACCTTTAATCCAAGCACTCAGGAGGCAGAAGCAGGTGGATCTCTGTAAATTCAAGGTCAGCCTAATCTACACAGTGAATTCTAGAACAGCCAGGGTTATATAGAGAAACTGTCTCAAAACAAAAATAATTTAAAAACCACCTTGAATAGTTGTTCACCAGTCACATAAGCCTGGTTAAAAAAAAACCCAAATCTTTACAACCCTCTATTAGGCACACTGCAAAAAACGGGCACTGCTGCATTTTGTTGATTGGAAAGAAAAATGTTATCATCCTTATGGAAGCGAATTTTGTAATGTCTTGCAAAAATCAAAAATACAATTCCCTTTCTGTATAATAATTTCACTTTTGGAAATTTATCCTATAACTACACTTTCCCACAGTGATGTGACAGTGTTCATGGCAGTACCGACTCATCACTCAGCTATGAAGATAAAACAGCATAATCAGAGAAGGCATTTATAGCCGGTCTATCACTCTCCACAGAGGAACATGCAAGTGTGAACATACCTCAAAGCACTCTACAAAGCTCCAGGGTTCAAAGGTATCATTGCTGGTGCCATAAAGTAAAAGTAAAAAAGTAATTTTCCTCTACTACATTTTTCTCTATTAAATTCTGACATGGCCCTGTTTGATGGGTGTCAGGCCAAGGTCAGATGCTTCTCATACATCTAATAAAGGCTCAAGGGTTCAACAGCTGGAAATCACCAGTAAAATGACACACAGACTCTCATTTCAATATGGTGCAAGAACTGGCTTTGAGGCCAGGCAGTGGTAACACATGCCTTTAATCTCAGCACTCGGGAGGCCGAGGTAGGTGTATCTCTGTGAGTTCGAGACCAGTCGGTATACAAGAGCTAGTTCTAAGACAGGTTCCAAAGCTATAGAGAAACCCTGTCTTGAAAAACAAAAACAAATAAACAAACAAACAAAAAAGAAACTGGCTCTACTTGAAAAAGTAAGGACCTGCCAATATACAACCCTTTAACAAAGGCTGTCTGGCAAGCCTTGTGCTCCAGAAAGCCAACACCAATAACATCCTTTTCAAAGGGTCTGTGTGAGTGCAGAGAAAGGCTCTCCTTGCCTGCCCACCCCCTCTTCTTTTTGTATATGCATATGTATGTATGTGCTCCTCTGTATGAACATGTGTGTAAAGGTCCAAGGACAACCTCAAATGTCATTCCCCAGAGCCATCCATGTTGTTATTTTGCAACAGAAGCCCACAGAGTAGACAACTGGCTGGCTAACAGGCACAAGATGTGATAGTCACTCTAGATTATCTAGATCAGGTTAATTGAGGTGGTACCATCCCTTGGGCTAAGGTCTCAGACATAATGAAAAGGAGAAAGTTAGTTGAGCACAAGCATTCATCAGTCTCTGCTTCCTGCGCCCAATGTGCCTTCTATTCCAGCTGCCATGAATTCCTGCCAAGATGGCTGTACCCCTAGAACTGTGAGCCAAAATAAACCCTGCCCAGTTGCTTCTGTCAAGGAGTAACTAGAACAGTTGGCAGGTCCTTTGCGTACTGAACTACCTTCCCAGCAAGGGTCTTCTGAGAAGTGTGGCCATGTGACCTTGCACACTTAGGTCAACAGCAGCCTGTCTACAATGGAAGCTATGGATAGAAATGCGGGGTGATAAGAAATGAAGAGAGAAGACGAATGAGCCAGGTGAGTGAGCACCAGCCCAGGTACCTAAGATGTGCAGGCACAGAGCAGAAACTGCATTCCTATGCCACTCAGGAAGTCCCACTTCTGGGGTGGGCATCAAGATGGTGAGGTTACAGACTGGGGACCTGGCTCAGCCAGCAGGGTAACTGCAGGAGGCAGGAGGTTGAGTGGCTTTCTCCTCAGCTGTCATCTAAGCACCTGCAGGGCTAGATCTAATAGTCCTTCCCAGGCAGGGACACGCACCACCTGCCATCCTGCCTCACCACAGGAGCCTGGTGGCAAGCATCAGACAGCAAGAAAGACTTAATTGGGAAACTAAGGGAAGAATTCATCTAAACTGCCAAAGAAGGGGAGAAAGAAACCTAGATGCAGATAAAGTCATGACGCAGAATTCTTTTCTCTGGAAAAAGCTGAAAAATGGCTGCCAAGAACCTTGCCCTAGGCTGGGTCCCTGTTTGTGAAACGGGTAGCAGGATCCTGACTCAGAACAAATTGGCACTGTCTCAAGAGCTACTGAGATGTCCAGATCTCAGATAGGGGCAGAATTCATCTTATCATGCAGACTTTGTCCAGGACACTGACACGCAGGATAAAGATACCTTTTTTTTCTAGTCTCTATGGCTCTCAGGGGGCCCCAGCTTCCAAATCTGCTAGCATGTACAGATTACCTTCAGCCTTTTTGTCCATGCTGGTCCAGGGGAAACTGCCTTCTTCCATCCAGCGACAGCAGCAGCAACTGGGCGCCGCCTTAGATTCTCTCATTAGCTCATCTTAATTACACCCAGACCACAGCAGTTCTGGTGCAAAATACCTGCTCCTGCTACAAAGCAGGCAGGGTTACTGATAGCTTTCCTAGCTTTCCTTGACTCCAGCTCCTCTAGCTCCCCACTGCTGCCAGCAGCTTCCTTTTTCTGCTGTCCTTGGTTCTTGCACATAACACTCAATCCACTCTAATCCAGGCCACTGTCGGAGTCTAGCTCAAGTCAAGCATGCTCATGACTCTGCTTAGTCAGGTGCTGCTCATGGTGCTGTGAAAAAGGCAAGAAACGGGAGGAGAGCACAGAGTGCTTCCCTTCCAGAAGCCTAAAGTCTGAGGCTAGGACACAAAAACAGAACAAACCACTGGCAAGAGGCAGGTGGAGACTTGAGGGAAACTTAGTTTTCAGCTTTAAACCTTGTAATTTCCAGGTAGGAGAACTAAAGTCTAAGAAAGACAACCCAGGGAACGAATCATATCAAATAACAGCAACGAACATTTCTTTAAAAAATTTTAAACTTTTTTTAAAAAAAAGGTTTTACTTTCAGTTTTAATTATGTGCATATGTGTTTGTACAAGTGAGCACAAAGTCTATGAAGGCCAGAGAGGGCTTTGTATCACCTGGAGCAGGAGTTACAGGTGGCTGTCAGCTGCTGGACATGATTGTTGGAAACCAAACTGGGTTCTCTGTAACATTAACACTACGTGCTGGGCACTGCTGCCGCCTCTGTTTTAATGACAAGGAAAATGAGGCAGACAGGGGTTAAATGCCTTGTCTGAGTTCCCACCAGTACAGAAGGCTGCACTGAACTCTGGACCCTTGCCACTAAACTATAGTCCGTGATAACAACCTCATCTGGGTACAGTGACTGAATATGGGGGTTGTGAAAAACTGAGCAGGAGTAGAAAGTTTCTGAATACACAGCAATAATGAATTATTTCAAAATCAATTCTGTAACGAAGTCAGGTGTTATGGTAGCACTTGCCCATGCTGGATCATGTATGTGACTTCACTGCGGCCTTGATTCTGTACACAGATGAGGTCAACAAACACTGCCTGAAGACCCAGGTAAGACTCCCTGTGATATAAACTGGTTTCTGCTCTTAGAAGCATGACGGTCAAAGTACGAAAACAAAGACTTTTCTAACTCTTCTCACTGTCATGTCTCAGCAGTACCAAAGTAGTACATCTTTGGGCTGTGCTACATTAAAATGTTTGATTTTAAGAACTGCCATGAATTGCTGATTTGAATTTCTTTTCTTTTCTTTTCTTTCTTTCTTTTTTTAAAAAGTCATTAAACAGAACTGGCCAGATGGCTCAGTGAGTAAAAGCTCTTGCCGCCAAGCCTAAAGATCTGAGTTTTGATCCCAGAAACAAATGCTGTGTGTGCCTACACATATACACACACCTAACTTAAGTTTTAAACATTAAATGAATTCTGGCTGAGTACAGAATTTGCAGCAATTTTTGAAATGGTCCTAAACACTGCTGTCTTGCACTGGGTATTTAGGGAAGTGGTGCACTCAGCACCAACAGCACTGAATATCCAAACTTTCAAGCAAGATTTAACTCTGTATGTAAAAATAAACATGCACACCCATCTCATCAATATACAAGTCTGCTTTGCCCTTTAATAATAAAAGTTCATGTATACCAAAGAACTGTTTTTAAAACAAATTTCTTTAAGTGCTATTGCCAGTATTTGTCTGATTTGTATATTTACTTTATACATGTGTACCTGGAATCGTGTGGTGAAAGGGGGTCATGAGCAGTGAGAATCTGAGAAGTCCATTCTGCCCCACTGTGCAGCTCAGCCTGAACTGACTGGAGACATCAACGGACAGTTTTCCTGAGTTAATTACTCTTGGGAATAATCATGAAAACCGTGTACTTGCATTATCCAGAGCCAGCTCAAAGGTATTCCCAATGAACCGGGTTTGTATCTGACTGGGAGTTTGCTGGTGCAGCTGTATACTAGGCACCAGGGGCTGTGAGTCAAGTCCCGTGTTTCCAAAGGCAAAGCCAGATCAAGAGGAAAGAACTTTTTAGAATGGGTTTATCCAGAGATCCAGAAGTGTTCAACTCACTCCTCGGCTTTATGTCTTGTTGTCTATACATGATGCCCAGGAATATGAATTAGAAATATTATTTTCTGAGGCAGTTCAGGCACCTTCAAAAGATACTCAATGATATAGTCTGAAATGTTCATAAAATGGGCTTCTAATAAATGCTTTGTCACCAAAAATGGTCCACCACCACCACCACCACGACCACACACAGGGGACATGGTCTCACTATGTATCCCAGTATCCCCCCCC